ATCTAATTAACATTGGAAGTGTTCAGATGTCACAGCGATGAGCAGCAGTGCAAAACCATAAAATAGACAAAGCTAGGGGAGAGATTGAATGGAACAGTTGGCATTGGCAGGGCCATGGCCTAATAGGCCTTTAGGATCTCTAATTTGTGTTATTCTAGTTGTCTAATCTTGAACAAACTAAAGCAATAAAACAAAGCAGTCTCTCTCCCTTGAGAACTGAATTTATGAACTGCGTAATACCCATAGCCTTTGCTGGCCTGAAGTCTACAAGTACTATAGGGGACATTCCTGCATTGATAGATGATCTAAGAAGTATTTTCACTACTAACTTCTATGATTCTCTGATATTTGTTGACATGAAATTGGTAAACCGAATGCTCTGTTCTGCACCATAGGCTGGCTTGATTTGATATAATTGACTTTAACATAATCATCCTAGTTGAGAGCTTTCTTTGTTCCATAGATGTAATAACTCCTCCATTTCTTTTTTTGTTCTTTCATCATGTCTTCTAAATTATCATTCATTATGCTTAACCTTAGGGCATGCAACATACAGCTTGTGAATGGGCATGTGTGTGCTGTGCCACTGGCAGCTGCCCTTAGGAAGCAGTGACCTTGGGCATGCAGGGATGCATGGCATGCAAAGGGCTACATCTGAAATAGTTCTTTGAGACCTTCAAAAATCCTGTCCATCAGCTCTGGGACAACACAGGGGGCACCACAGAACTTTCCGTAAGAGTAAAGATTTGTTCTGGGAACTTTGAACAAAATTTTCCAGCTGTTTGCTGTGAACTAGTTTTCTGCCAGGCTGTGTACTTTGAAAGCAAAAGTGGCTGTAGTCCTGTGTGTCTCTCACAGATGGGGAAGGCAGGGCTGGAGTAGAACCCCAGTCCTTTTGCTCCAAAGCAGCACGTCTGCATCACTTGTCCTGTGGGAGATCTTGCTTAAAGGAAGCATTGTCTCCATTTTATAAATGGGGGGTGGGGAGGAACTGAGTCACAAAGATGAAGAGACTTGCCCAAGGTCACATAGGAAATCTATGGCAGACCCAAGAATTGAGCCCAGGTCACTTGAGTCAGTCTAGTGCTTTAATCAGAAGCTGTTCTTCTGGTCCCCCTCTCTACTTAGACTGTGCTTCCTTTAGAAAAAAGAAAAAGTAAGTTTGACTGTCTTGAATAGGCATGATGTCACGTTGATTACGTCTCTTGTTATTTTTCTATCAAAATATTTTTAGAACCCGTAGGACCTAAATAACTTGTAAATATTATTTCAAGCTATGGTCTATCTTGCATTTATTACTGTTCTTTCATTGTGTATTTTTTATGGTTACATAATGTTGCATTCTTGGTTGGAGGGGAAAATCTGTTCCTATATCTAAATCATCTTCACCCATGCTTCAAGCTTCCCTTTCAAAACTCTATTAATAATTTTTTGTTTTCCACATGTATATGTTTGCCCAAAGCAAATTCTTCTCAACGTTTATTTTTGGTGTATGTGCAAAGTTTGTATAGCCCAATTAGAAGTATACTATCAACTAAACGTTTTCAGTCCATTTATTACACCGCCTTAACGTCTTTAAAACCAAATCAATGATGTTTTCCATGCAATCAGTACTGGGTCAAACACAGTTCAGAACATATAATGCATGATATCCAATTTTGTTCTGTAGACCAGTTGTTTTTATTAAATCAGCATAATAGTTGGACATGTGTACTTGAACAGTGCACTAATCCAAATTAATCCAAAAATGCATATAATCCCATAGTTAATACAATGGTTCAATTACAGCTGATGAAATGGAATTATGTTTAATTAGTGTATCTGTACATGCTTTTTTTCCATCGGTTAAATAGTTCATACATGTATATCTCATTTGTATATGCATTTTTCACAAGTATAGCAATGGCATAGAGGCCTGCAATTAGTATCAAACAAGGAGTTTAGTGGTATCGATTCAAAAATAGCTTCTCTTGTATGCTCTAATATAGGAAATAATCTCAAATAATATATTGTATTACAGTTTTATTAGTAACTATTTCAAAGGCTTTTGCAGTTAATTCTGCATTTTTAAATCTTCTTCGGGATTATCTGTGTGATTTAGGCAGTTGTGTGGCTAAAATCCCTGCACAATGCTTTAAAATGCAGGGATTATGTTTTTTTGGTTTGTTTTTTAGTAGCTATGTTTGTAAATTAGTTATCTTAACGTCATTTCTGAGACCCTTTCTACCATTTTTAAAAACAAATATGTTTGTTGACTCCCTTAATGCTAATCCAAATGATTCTAAACATTTTTTGGTAACAAGCTGTAAAATGTGTAGATGCAGATTATTTGGAATGCACAGATTAAAAAACTGAAATTGCACAAATGTACTCTCTGCAGCAGATTCGGTGTATTGTTGCATTATACCATGCCACCAGCTGGCAGGGAAACTATGAGCCACATTTTGATCTTGTCCACACCACTGTAAATCAAGAGTGATTCCAGACTTACAGTGGTGTAAATGAGATCAGAATTTGGCCTTGGTAGTAGTTTTTTTTTTCTTTTTCTAAAAGTTTCCCACTGAACTGGTATATCTGAAATTAACACTGTAGTCAGAGCTGTCCCTTGGGTAGGGCGAATCGGGGTGACCACTCCAGGCCCCGTGCTTTGGGGGGGTCCCGTGCCCCCGGGGTCTCGACTGCCACGCTGGGACCCCGCTGCCGATGCAGAGCGGGGCCCCCAAGCTGGCGGGGGCTGATTTGTCCCAGGCCCGCATCCCGCTAGGGATGGCCCTGACTGTAGTGTCCTATTATAGGAGCAGCCCCTCTAGGATAGGGTTGCCAACTTTCTAATCGCACAAAACTGAACACTCCAGCCCTGCCTCCCCACTCACTACGTTCCCCCTCCCTCGGTGACTCACTCTCCCCCACACTCACTCACTTTTACTGGGTTAGAGTAGTGGGTTTGGGTTGGGGTTGGGGTGTGGGAGGGATCTAAATGGGGGTGTGGACTCCAGGGTGGGGCCAGAAATGAGGGGTTCAGGATGCGGGAGGGGGCTCCAGGCTGGGGCAGGGAGTTGGGGTGCGGGAGGGGGTGAGGGCTCCGGCTGGGAGTGTGGGCTCTGGGGTGGGGGTGGGGAAGATGGGTTTAGGGTGCAGGAGGGGGCTCTAGCTTGGGAGGTGGGGGCCAAGGGATTCGGAGTGTGGGAGGGGGCTGCGGCTTGAGGCAAGGGGTTGGGGTGCAGGGGGAGTGAGGGCTCTGGGCTGGGACTGGGGATGAGGGGTTCAGGGTGTGGGAGGGGGCTCTGGGCTGATTCAACAATGATCTAGATTTTATTGCTGGAGATTTGTTTTCATCGGTTCAGGGGTTAGTTATTAGGGTTGCCAACTTTCTACTCACACAAAACTGAACACCTTTGCCATTCCCTTTATCTGAGGTGCGGCTCATGTCATGCCCCTTCTCTGAGGCACTGCCCCACCGCTCACTTCATCCCCCCTTCCTCCGTCGCTTGCTCTCCCCACCCTCACTCACTCGCTCGCTCATTTTCACCGAGCTGGCTCAGGGGATTGGGGTGCAGGAGGGTGTGAGGGCTCCGGCTGGGGGTGCTGGCTCCGGGCTGGGGCCAAAAATTAGGAGTTCTGAGTGTGGGAGGGGGATCAGGGCTGAAGCAGGGAGTTGGAGCGCAGGGGGGGGGAGGGATAAGGGCTCCGACTGGGGGTGCGGGCTGAAACTGAGGTTAATACCTGGGCAAGAGTGAAAATTACTGCATCAAATTACTTTTTTTAAATGATTTGGTACTGTGATTCTTTTCTTAGTTAAAATACTTTAAGATAGAGTCATCATGGTCTTATATTTGAATTAACGGTAGCCTTTGAAATGCTAAAACACGCACGTCATTTATGAACTGGATACATTTAATTTCTTATAGTGAGAGACTAATGTAGAATTCTTTTGAAATTTTTACCCCAGGTCTCCTGATGTTTAATTCCTCTGACTTCAGTGGAGTTTTTCCTGATTTACACTGCCATATGTGAGAAGATGATTAGGTTCAAAATACTTACAGAGCAGGATACAACATAATGTGAGGTGATGAAACCATTTCAGTAAGCAAAATTCAAGAATTCATTTAAAATAATGCCTTATTGACCCAAAAGGCATTCACAAGCAATGAAGGAAATAATTTCCCCTCCTCCTCTACTCCTCCTTCATCCCCAACATTTAATTATGATTACAGAGACCTTTCCAAGATACATGTGCTGCTAAGGATATGCATGCCCATTTGATAAATCTTTCCTAAAAGCTTCAAATCAAGACCTTTAATTTTGTATTTTAATCTCAAGTGTAGTTTTCTTATGTTTATATACAGTATAGAATGTATCTTACAGTTCAACATTTAGTGTAGACAATATTCTTCCTGAACTCATTATCTATGTCCTCTACTGCTGGAATTTTGTTGATATGATCCTTTTAGGTAGGCAGAAAATTAGTCTTATGTCTGTTTGGTTGGGTTTTTTTTTTCTTCATTCTTTGGAAAGGTATAATTTTCAATAGACTTTGGTTATTTACTCTTATTTTTACTGTTTCCAGAGGAAAGCATCCTGCTGGTAAAGCTTACATGTAGATCTGCTTCAGTGCATGCCTGTGTGTTGCCAGCATAGGCTAGGAAAGTGCTAAATTAGAATGAAAATTGCAAGAGTATTTTTCCACTATGGTTTGTCATCCAGAAATGGGTTTGTAACACAGTGTACAGCCTTGTATCCCAGCTGTGTGGAGCATTGATTGCTTCTGCCTGAAGCAGGGATGCTGTCAAGTTGCTCTGTGAGTTGAGTCATCTATTGACAAAGAGCTACCAGCCAGCAGATAAGGCTGTGCAGCTCTGCTCTCTGTGCTCCCACGATGCACTGCTTATAGCAGCTGTCAAAGATACTGAAGAGTCCACAAAAAAAGGACTTTACATCTGCTAAGAAGAGAAAAGCTTTTATCAAAGCTGGCCAGGGGAAACACTAGACATCAGTACAACATGAATGCATACCTTACTAAGCAACACAGCTGCTGCAGGGGGTCTGATGGGATGGATGCTGGCAGAAGTTTGCCTTCATTGATGAGGGATGCCCACTGCGCCTGTGGTTGGCAACAGAACCCTCAGGGGCTCTATTATAGTACTCAGACTGTGCCCTCTTCAGGACCTGTGGGTCTGACCCAAAACAGGAGTAAGTGTATTACTTTGTGGGACAGTGTGCGGAAGAGCCCCCATAAAACTCTGGCTAAAACAAAGGGGACCACAGGGGAATGGTGGTCAGAGTGCACCTGTCCCCATGGCTGGTGCAACCCAGTACAGGTGAGCCTATTCTTGTAAGTCTAAATGGGTTAGAAGACTTTCAAACAACAAAATAAGGATTTGCTATTGTTGGCAACTTTTCACGCTGGGTCTTGATTATTGTTTAATGATGCCTTCTGGAAGATTTTATGCGGGGCAGTGTGTCAGTTTATAATGTCTGTCATTTGAATCCTGCTTCTATGTGGTCTTTGTAATCCTTGGGGTTCTCTGGGAAGAGTTTCCTTTTCATACTGTTTTGTCTTTATAAATACAACTTCTCTAAACTTCCTATTACATTGTAGTTATGTTTAGAAGTATGATCTGTTTTAGCCACCCCATGGCTTCACAAGGATTGTATTGTGCATGCTTCTTTGGAGAGTTTGTTGTAATTTGCTTTTTCAAGCTAAATAATCATATGCTTTTTTAATAGGGAAAATATTTAATACTTAAAAATAAATATGGAAGGTATGACTAATTTTTCTCCGACCCCCCCGCCTGCAAGATCTATTTGAAATTTGTTAAGTATGTATGAAGTAACTGACTTTAGCTTTCATTTTTGTACTGATTTAATTTTTCAAATGATAAAGTAGTTTTATTTGAAGTTTAAAATATACTAGTGTCCAGAATTTGTAGTTACTTGAGTGTAATTATTCTTAGTTATAATTGCTCCCTAGAAAACAAAGCACTGTAAAATGAAATTCAGTGACATTCATATGGTTGTTAATATTAAAAAGCGTTAATGCTTTGTCCACTGATGCATGCATTTTCATGTCTGAATCAGACATTTTAATCTCATTCAAAAGCTCTCGTATCACACCAACACCAAACACTCTCATTTTATAAAATAGTGGATTTTTTTTATTTAACTCAAAAGGAAAACTAGGGGGTAATATTAAACTAAAATACTCTAGTAGTTATTGGGTAAAGCTTGCAATATAGTCTAACTGTCCGTAAAACACATCGAACGAAGACGTGCTCTGTTTGGAGAATAAATCAATTCTCTGATGGAAATGGTTTTAATATGTTTTTCACAGAACAGGAAACCAATACAGCACTGGGTCTTCTGACCGTGGGGCTACACTTTATCTTCCTCATGATCCAGAAAAGTGATGCATTGTTTGCTGCAAGTGATTTTTATAGATGTAAACAAGCTCTATTTTAGCTTTAAACTAATTTTATATTGAAGGACTAAGATTTTTGCTTTTGGATTTTTTTTAATTGACCGATAATACACACTATTCTAAAAATATATTATTAATTCTCTCATGTATCATGTACCAAATTTATATGAATGTTGCATACAAAATAAGCCAACATGAAAAAAATTTAAAAGCAATATCACTAGTTAGTGCCCTTATTTTGCAGAAAAATTTTGAGAATTTAAAAAAAACACACACACAAAAACCATTGTTTCAGTGAAGCAGAAATTGTATTCCTTAATGTGTTTTTTCTAAAATGGAAAAAAGTTGAAAGAAAAAACTATCTCATACTAGCAACTAGTTTTGTAAGCTAAGTAAGATATAGAATATGCAAAGGGGACAATAATGCTGTGTGTTCTTACTGTATTTTTTAAAAGGTACCATACTGGTCACACTTAAAAGATCACTCCAGTATATGTACTTTACTTTTATACAGTTGGATGCATGCACAATATAATAGTATACTTGCATATTTTCAACACCATTATATGAAGATACAGTAAAATAACCCATTTCAAGCTTTGCACAAATAGGTCTTTTTATTTTTGAATTGTGTATTTTAAACTTCATCTAGCACACATTCTTATTGTCTGAATGCACTTTTTTCTCTTTGTTGTGTTTAGCAAAGTGTCCTCACTAGTATTTACCTGTAGTCATCTTAATGCTTGTTAGCAAAAAATTCTAGGGAAAGGTAATGTTCTGTGCCTACATACAATGGAAATAGATTGTTATGGTTACTTCCTCCTAGGATTTTATTAATCCTTTGTGTTCCTTTGTATCATACCCCTTCTGGACATTCAGTTTCCTTTGACCATCTCACCCTTTCTCATTCAAATAATAATCTCTCTACTTTTGTTTCCTCTGTGTAAAGCGAGCATTGTGGAGAGAGTGAGATGAGGAGGGAGAGTATGTAAACACACTGGGGTTATGTCTACATAGCACCTAGACACCCGCAGCTGGGGCTTGAGTTGCGGGGCTGTTTCATTGCTATGTAGAATTCCAGGCTTGGGCTGGAGCCTGAGGACTTGGATCCTCCCACCTTGCATGGTCCTAGAACCCGGGCTCCAGTCCAAGTCCGGAAGTCTACACAGCAGTGAAATAGCCCCACAGCCCGAGACCCAGGAGCCCAAGGCCGCTTGCACTGGCCAGCCGCAGGTTTTTCTCTGCTGTGTAGATGTATCCTGGGAAGGCTTGCTTTTTGACCAATGTTGAAATGGTAGTATTGTTTGTAACTGTTGTAAAAAGCTGGTAGGATGGGGTATCATCCCTAATATGGATCATTTCTGAAGATTAGCTGCATTACACATGAATAAGAGATGCAATGTACAGCAATTTAATAACTAATCAGAGAAACTGCTATTGGTTCTTTTATGGATACCTTTTAAATTGCCACTAGTTTCAGGGTGCAGGTTAAAAACTGTAGGTGTCATTGAGGGACTCACTTACCACACTGTCCTTTGATTTGGAAAACAATCTCATTTGATCTCTTTTTAAAGAAGGCTTAGTTCCTTTTTGTTTAGCAGCAGTAAAGTCATGTTTGCAGTGATGATGGTTCACAATAAAAATACAATGAGAAATATAAAGAGCATAATTAGAATAAAAAGAAAATGGTTCTAAGTTCAATTCTTGTATATAATGTATTAGGGAGAGGATATTTTAAAAATGTCTAATATAAGTTGCCACTTTTAAATATACTGTATTTAAAGAGAAATAATGGGAATCTAAACTTCAGTCTCGATAAAATTACATCAACTGAAAGAAGTAATTGTTTAGGAAAAAAGTGCTTCCCAGGAGGTGCTTAGCACCCTTGTCTTTCTGTGTAAGTCACTAGGAGGTGACCACTGACTTCGGATGGAGTTGAAAGCACCTAGAACCTCACAGGTTCCTCAGTTAGCATTACAATAACCAACATAATGTCAGGCCCTTGGTTCTTTAAAGATACATTTGACAGCTTTTGGGACTTGAAATGATACATGAGCAATAAAATGTAGAGATGTATCTTTTTTCCAGTACCTTCTCTAGTTCAGAGAAGTGCAGTGAGTGCCCCTTCAGTGAAATTTTTTGTTCTAATCTCAGAAGTTTTGCTTCACTAGGTTTTATGTGAGCATTTTCTCTTGGTTTTGCATTGAGTTTCGGGCTGAAAACTCCCTAATCTCAAACAGACTTATTTGAAATCACCAAAATTCACTTAATTTTAGAAACCTTGTGAAACTAAAATTATTCAGGAGCTAATGCTAATCCCAGGTTTGAACAACCACTAGTGCCCTTGTTGCCAAGAAGGCTAATGGCATTTTGGGCTGTATAAGTAGGGGCATTGCCAGCAGATCGAGGGACGTGATCATTCCCCTCTATTCGACATTGGTGAGGCCTCATCTGGAGTACTGTGTCCAGTTTTGGGCCCCACACTACAAGAAGGATGTGGAAAAATTGGAAAGAGTCCAGCGGAGGGCAACAAAAATGATTAGGGGTCTGGAGCACATGACTTATGAGGAGAGGCTGAGGGAACTGGGATTGTTTAGTATGCAGAAGAGAAGAATGGAGGGGGATTTGATAGCTGCTTTCAACTACCTGAAAGGGGGTTCTAAAGAGGATGGATCTAGACTGTTCTCAGTGATACCTGATGACAGAACAAGGAGTAATGGTCTCAAGTTGCAGAGGGGGAGGTTTAGGTTGGATATTAGAAAAAAGTTTTTCACTAGGAGGGTGGTGAAGCACTGGAATGGGTTACCTAGGGAGGTGGTGGAATCTCCTTCCTTAGAGGTTTTTAAGGTCAGGCTTGACAAAGCCCTGGCTGGGATGATTTAGTTGGGAACTGGTCCTGCTTTGAGCAGGGGGTTGGACTAGATGGCCTCCTGAGGTCCCTTCCAACCCTGATATTCTATGATTCTATGATTCTAGGGATTGCCAACCTGTGGCTCTGGAGCCACATGTGGCTCTTCAGAAGTTAATATGCAGCTCCTTGTATAGGAACCGACTCCGGGGCTAGAGCTACTGGCGCCAACTTTCCAATGTGCCAGGGGGATCACTGCTCAACCCCTGGCTCTGCCACAGGCCCTGCCCCCACTCCACCCCTTCCTGCCCCCTCCCCTGCTATGCCCTCGCTCCTGCCCCTCCACCCAAAGCCTCCTGCATGCCACGGAACAGCTGATCAGGAGGTGCGGGGAGGAAGGGGGAGGCGCTGATCGCCGGTATTGCCAGTGGGTGGGAGGCACTGGGAGCAGGGTGGGGGTTTTGAGGAGGGGCTGCTGCCGTATTACTGTGGCTCTTTGGCAATGTACATTGGTAAATTCTGGCTCCTTCTCAGGCTCAGGTTGGCCACCTCTGCACTAGTGTTACTAAGCCAGAGTATGTTTTCCAAGAGCTACTGGCCCTTCTAGTGAAAAGGAGTGCTTTATTATCAATTTAAATCAGAAGCTAAGAAATGCAGAAAATTCTTAAGGGAAGCAAAGGGACACAAGAAGAAATCTATGGCCAGCAGAGTTATGGTCAATAAGAAGGGTTTTTTAAAGTGTATTGAGAACAAAAAGAATGGTGTTAGTCCATTACTAGATGGAAATGTAGAATTTTCAGTAATAATGCAGAAAAGGCATATGTTCAATAAATATTTCTGTTCTGTATTTGGGAATTCATATCACTTTCCATTCCACTAGTATCTCAGGAGGATGTTAAACAGCAGCTAGTAAAGTTAGACATTTTTAAATTGGCAGCTCCAGATAACTTGCATCCACAATTAATGTTGATTTTTCAATAAGTCTTGGAGTACCAGGAAAGTTCCAGAAGAGTGGAAGAAAGCTAATGTTGTGCCAATATTTAAAAAGGGTA